CATTAGTCTCTGGATTAGACAAGAGTTACTGCCTGGTTATATGCTTGGGTGACAGCCCCCTGCTAGGCTGTATGAAAGTGGGGAAGAACAATCCTGGGCATCAGGCAGTTCTAGAGACCTGAGAAACTCCTCAACTGACCAACGGAGATGAGAAAGGAGCCTCGGCAGTGCTGCAGGGTGGGAATAGGGCCCAGCCATGGCTACCCCTTCCCAATAGCATCCAGCCTAGAATGATGTAGGGCTTATACTCATCTCTCAAGGCTTGTACTCATCTCTCAAGGCTATTTGAAACCATGAAGTGCCTCACCCTCCTGAGTCACATAGGGACTTAGAAGAGAAAAATCTCACAAGCCCTGCACTCCCCTCCCACCTGAAAAGCTCTCTGGCAGCTAAAGTGGCTGCAGAACCTGGTTCTGTGTCAGGGATCTTTGGACACTGGTAATGTGTCAGGCTACTGCTTTTGGTGGTTTTGACTCAGTTTTCTCCACTGTGCTGCTTGGCTGTCTTCCACCCCTTCCACCTACCCTGCTGGTCCCTCTTCCTTCCCTGTCCCCTCTCTCTTGTGCTATCACCCAGTTGTCCACTCTATACACCCCACTTTGCTGTCATTTATTGCCACACTACTTGTTACAGCCACTTCCTCTCCAGCCCTTATCTGTCTTGTCACTGTTTCAAAGCAGCAACTATTACTGTAGTTGTACTCACCTCCATCGGCCCTTACATTAACACTAAACCTTGTCTGGATGGGGAAGTGAATTCCCCTGCACATCTGGATTCCAGCTGGTGTACAACTGGGTTCTGCTGCTAACAGCACCCTTAACAACTGACTGAGATTAAGGAGACTTAGTGGAGTAAATCTGGGGCCACTAGCAGGAGCCACTCTCAGTTTGATACAGCTGGACGCCCAGAACAGACAGCTGAGACGCTTACACCATTTCTTTTAATGAATACCCTCCATTCAGTGCCATCTGCCTCTAGCTCTGAAGGCCCTGATAATCAGTGTTGCATTGTTGTAACAAAAGGATTAACATGTCCCACCACCACTCTCTGCTGGAGAGATTTTGAACTGCTCAACTCCATCTTTATCCAACACTGCTAGGGACAAATGGAGAGTTTTCCTTAGACCACACGGTAAAGGCTTGCATCTTAAAATAGGAGGGCACGATTTCTTCGGTGAGTGCCGCAATGAAGCTTCCAAGGGCCACATATTTGTCAGTAACAAGAACGTGTTGTACACTGTGCTGGGATAGTCCTACATGTCTATGAAACAGCCAGAAGGCTTCACAGGCTGGGGTTAGGGGCATTACCACAGAGCTTAAACATGCTGCCCACCAGATTTTCAGAATGGCAAGTACCCAATGGGAAACCACCAGACACCTAAATGGGGGGCAGGGTCTTGCAAAAAGCTGTCTCTAAGTGGATCACACACATTGTTTGCGGGCCAGGATGGATTCACTTTTAATCTTCAAATTTTAGGTATTACCTAAAAAAGAGCTCATTCTCCCTGCTGTGTCTGAGAGCACACTCTGCAGCTCACATGCTGCTGGCTCTCTCCATGATGTTCTTAAAACATTTCCTTGTGAAGGGTTTACAAGCACAGATATGTGACAAGCAAATATAGCAGAACTGCAGACCTGTAACCCAGCAGTCCTGTGATTTGCCAGCAGATGGTGACTGAGCAGTGTGCAAATGTCTGACCTCTTGCCTCAGGTTCTGGAAAGGAGGAACAGCACTGCAATTTGCTTGGGATGTAATTTACACTTGCTTTTTTTCCTCTGTGGTCCTGTCGATCTTCAGCTGTGTTCTGCCGAACGCCCCTTTCCAGGAAGGGGAGGGAAAATCCATGCATTTCTTTATAAGAAACATTCAGCTTAACTTATTTTCACGTGATCCTAGCAGTCAGCCCCCAATGCCCGCACATCAGATAGGAGACCCTCCGTGATAGCACACAGCACACAATGCCAGGCAGGCAGGAGGAACAGGATTTATGTTGCATACTTAAAAAACCACACTGAATTGAAAATGGGTCCTACTGAAGAGCAGAAGTGGGAGAGGCAAGTTGGCTGCAGGTGTGAGCAGGGTATGGAAGGAGTCCTGCTGGTTAAACATCTGCCCCTGGTATTACTGGTGCTGCTCAGATGATGCTGGCTGGAGTGAAGAAAGGGTTTGCGCACAGTGGGCCTGGCAACTCCCAGCCGCAGGACAGGGGAGCGCACCTGCTCTCCCTAGTGTCTTCTGGTTGCAGCAGCTTCCTCTGAAGCAGCTGGATGGCTTCCCTGGGAGCAAGAGAAAGAGAGGTGCATTCTTCCTTTAGCCCCTATTTTAAATACCCACACCCCCTGCCACAAAACAGAGAACCCTTCTCTCACACACATCTCCCCACTTGTACCACACTGTGCGAGACTCCTGTGTATGGCCTACTGACAGGCAGCCTCATTAGGCTGTGAATGTCACAGAAAAGCTGGCTTAAGTTTGAGATAGTCAGTGTAGGTAAGCAGGAGCATGTGGGCATAGCTCACTGAGGAGTGTTGCCCTGGGATGTACCTTAACTTTTTAGGTGACAATGATTCAAGGTTATCCTCATGCTTCAGTATCTAAACCGACCTCAACCTTGTGCCACACTCTGGCTTTCCCAAGAAGAATCTGTCTTCAGCTCTGGTCCTCTCCTCTCCCTGTTATTACAAGATTATCCCTTACCAGGCCAAGCGGGACATGGCATAGTTGATTTGCAGTGGCTGGAACCCATTGAAGGAGGATGAGGCAGCTATGGTGTAGGCGCCCATATTCTCAAAGATCAGCCAGTCATGGACCTGTAGCTCTGGAAGCTCCAAGCCCTCTGCAATGCAGTCCTGCCCATCACAGCTGGAACCCCAGAGGCTGCTGTTGTAGGAGGGCTGGTCTAGGCAGGGTTTCTGCATTGAGAAGAGAACAGAGATGGACATCACCCAGCAGATATTAAGGAGATGGGCCCACAGCTGATCCATTGTTAGCAGTGGAGTTGTGCTGATTTATACCAGTTGGGGGCCTGCCTCTACATCTGGAGCATCTTTACTGACACCAAACTCTGGCTAATTCATACCAATTCCCCACCAGTGCCCCCACCCAGTGATCAACCCCTGATAATTGGTCACTAGAGAGATAATTTGCTGTCATTGGCATTCCCCTCAGAGTGATGAAGAAACTGGAGTTTATCACACCAGCAACCAGTCGTGGTATAGTGCAGGCCCAAAACAGAGCCTGGAAAAAATGAGCAGAAACAGCCTCGTATTTTAGTGAAGAAAACAGGTCTGTTTGGCTCTGACTATACCCAAACATTGCACTGTGCACCCATTGCCAGTCCAGATTATCCAAACAAGATAAAGGCAACAGGAAAATGTTATTCCCATTTAATCTTCTTGGTTGTTAGCACCTCAAGGGTGAGCATCTTTTCAACATGTCCTTCTGGCTAAAGTGCCTGTCCCTTTTACCCTTTTCTCAATGCTCCTTGCTGTATGAGTGGATAGACACCAGAGGGCAGATTTCTTGACAGCTGAGACAGAGACATTTTGCAATCCATGTTGCCTGTCTTGAAGCTTTACAACCTTGTCTACTACAAGACTTGCCTGCCTAGGGGAAGCACTCTCAAGCAGCTTGAAAATGAAAAGGAAACTTCTTAATGCTTCAGAACCAGTGTCAAGTGCAGAGCAGGGACTAATGACCCCAGTGCCACAGCTGGGGCTGGAGGTCACAGGAGGTGACTCCCCCAAAGTCTCTAGCACTGCTGCAGCCAGTGCCCAGAATCAATACTGTGAACTCTGGCGCCTGCTGGCTCCAAAGAGGGTGTCTGAGTAAAGGCTCCTAAGACTAGACTTGTGTCCTTCCCAGGCAGCAGCCATCCATTTCAGTGGAGTTACCCCAGGGATGAATGGAACACATTTCACTTTGCCTACACCATCAACAGGCAAATCCAAGTGATGACTGGTATAGGTGCAGCAATGAGAGGCTAGAACCAGACAGGCAAGGAGTGTTTCCCTCGGTGTGTTACATTCTCCAGTGAGGAAAGACTGCAGGGAGTTTCAGACAATTAAAGTGCAAGAAAGAAATGCCCTGAAATCTTCCTCCAAGTAATGGAAGGGTACAGAGGAGCTTTATGCTACAGCTCAGGAGCAAACATGGGGACAGAGCATGTTGGGTTAAAAGGCATAGGATGCAGCTGGTAAAAATCCTCCAAGTGCAGTGGACCCACTCTGGAGTATTAAGTTATTCCTGGTCTGGCGTGTGCCCTTCCTCCAAAATAAAACAAAAGTGGCAGGGGTATCCCTTGGCTCCCTCCCAGATGGCAAGCAAGAGCTACAAAGCCCTCCTTACCTTATGCAGGATGGGAGTGGGGCAGACATTGTCAAAAAGGATGCAGCCAAAGGATCGGTAGACGCTGTCGTTGATGTGGTACCTGATGCTCTTCTTGCTACTGGGCTCTTCTTCTAGGAGAAAGCAGGGAAGCTGGGTTCAGGGACGGGCTGATTCACAAGGCAAGCTCAATACTTTGGGCTGCCTCCTCTGAGGAGACTTTCTCAGGCTGTCCTTGTGAGTGGGAGGACAGGTGGCCTGCATGTGGGTTAAAGGGGCACCAGGAGGATAACACTGGGAGGCTGAATCAACTAGACCAACAACCCATAGACTAACAGGATCTGAACTCTCTAGTAGCTGTGTATGCTCAGCCTTAACCAACCCGCTTGCAAGGGGCTTCTTCTGACCTGAAGTTCCAGTAACATCCCCTCTGGTTTGCTAAGCCCTGAGAGACCTCAACCCCCATCCCAGCTCAACGTACCATCTGAGCCAGGCTGATCCAAGGGAACCTCCCGCTTGGCAGTGACACTGACAACCAAGGTGAAAGCCGAAGCCACATAGTATCGTCCGGGTTCTGCGATGATCTCTACCCCACAGCCTTCCGGGAAATACAAATCCAGAGCTGAGTTTATCATGGCTGCAGTCTGATTGGATGAAGTGGGAGGAAAAAATAAAACCATACTTGTTCCAACCCTTGTTAACTAGGTCCCCCTTCAAAACAGGGGCTAGGAACACAAGTCCAGCTGAGATACCACCTCCCTTCCACCTGCTACCTCTGTCCAAACAGTTCAGACCCCAAAATCTTTTTACCTCTTTAGTATCTTCAGTGCCCAGGAATCCACCTCCAATGTCCAATAGGTGCATCTTGTAGCCCAGCTCCAAGCCCATTTCAAACACCAGCCGAGCATTTGCTATAGACTGAGTGAAGATCTGTGGGTCAACAAAGCCACTGCCGACGTGAAAACTGAAGAGGAAGATTCCCTAAGTTAGCTGAGGCTGAGTCCCCTCTCCCAGCCTCCCCTCAGCCTGGAGCAGTGGCATCAGGCTAGGAAAGATTGTGTAAAAGTTCATCACAACTGGTCCTTCCAATAGGCTTTATGCTCATTCCATTTGCCATCAGCTGTAAGATTCTCAGTCCATGGTGTGTCTGCAGCTCAAACAGACCAACCCGAGCGAGCTTCAAAACAGCTAGCATGGGTGCCTATCACAGTGCAGTGGTGGTAGCATGGAGCTGAGTGTACCTAGAAAACTCACCCAAGGAGCTGATGGCAGACGAGTACTGAACTCCTGAGACTGGCACACAAGCTGAGCAACTAATGCAGATGTATCTGCATGAGCCACAGTCGCAACTATCCTCTCTAGTAACCCCCCAGTAGAAAGGGCTGTGGGTAGAGCCTTAGAAATGCAGACTGAGAATTTCAGGAGGGGTCAAGCATTCTGTCTGCAACAACTTTTGGTCACAGACATCTAACTTCCCTAAACTCCTTTGAAAACCAGTTTTGAAGGAGCAGTGCATAGCAAGTAAAGGCATAGGTTAGTTAAATCCATTGCAAGATGAAAATACATACACGACCCTCTTGTTTTATTAATAGTGACCTTGAGCCAGCTCTATTTTAATAGTTAAATCAACTCCCCTTGGTTTAATGCCCAAAAATATAATGTGACATCTGCATGGCTGTTGGTGAGTTCTTTATGTCATCTGATCAAGGAATGGGAACAAAAGCATGTGCCTTAAGGAACTAAACAACAGCATGGACTTCTGGTGCATGCAATTTGCAAACAATCTGTAAAGAGGAGATCTTGGCTGAAAAAATCTGGGAGTGTAATGTCATAATTAGTAGATGTGCAGGTTTTCCTGCCTGATCATGGGCAACTGATGAGCAAAAACAGGGGTGCAGTCTTTGCAGGGTCCAATTTCATATGAATGAACTGCCCTGCTTTGGGGATCAGACAGGCCCTCCTAGCTCTATGACAATCAGTACAAACAGTTAGTGCCTGGGCTGATTTCCAGATCTCTGCTTCTCCATTTAGACAGAATGAGGGACTGTGGCAGAAGGCCACCTTGGTTTCTCCCCAGGAATCTCTGCCCTGTGACACTGTGATTTGGATCTCTGTGCTGTGACCATTCAATTAGGATGGGCCCAGCACACAGGGGACCACACCCTCAGCCTGTCTCTTTAGGGAACTTGAGCTGGCTGCATTCCTGAGGGAGGGGGAAACCTGCTCCCTCTGCTTACGTGACTTGCATCACTTACCTAGGTAAGGGGTTTCTACCTGGGGAGCTGGAATCTGCCTGGTAACAGGTGATGCATTTCAGATTGGTTGG